TAAAATAATATTCTACAACACAGACTTCTTCCATGTATGCCATTATGAAGGAACCCTGATAAATGGCTGGCAATTTTTAGAAGGGAGAGTGTTTGAAACAGTCAAGGGTTTGGTGTGGCTGAGTCAGAGAAAACAGAGACCCAGAGACAAGACTTAAAGTCTATTATCAACAAAACTACAAATCAGTGATTACTGATGGGCTCAATGTTAGTGAAGTTTTTAATGTAAACATGCTTAGTTTGGGAACATTGATGAACTATATAAGCTACTTAATAATTCATTTTGTGAATTCTGATAATTAAGGATAGATAATGCTTTTATTTTCTCTGTATTATTTTTCATAGTATATATTTGTCCTACCACCTTCTAGGACAATATATATGTATATACATGTATATATATATGTATATATTTATATATGTACATATATGTATAATACACACACAAAAACACACGTGTGTTTGTGTATGTGTGTGTATGTGTTGGTGTAGGAGTTTTAGTTTTCTTTTCTTTTCTAACCAATAGATTAATTAATTTCACAATTACAACTCCCCCAACCCAATCACAGCTCCCCCATGCTCCCACAGTCGCTCCTCCCAAGTGACTCCCTCATCCATTCCACTTCCTCTCTCACCAGAAAAATGCAGTCTTTCCATGTGCATCAGCCAGCCATAGGACATCAAAATGCAACAAAACCACACACCACTCCATCATCAAGGCTGGACTAGGAAACCCAATAGGAGGAAAGGGTCCAAAAAGTAGGATACAGTAGCAGAGACAGCCCCAAAGAAATACAGTTTTATTGCCTGATAGAATTGCTATCAATGTCAATAAGATATAAGTGTTGCTTCCTTTTTAAATATTGCTATTCATGTATATTCTGTATATCGTGATGGGATTCATAGGCATTTGCAGACTATTTCATACCATATATGTTGACCATCTACTCTTTCTTTACTCTACTCTTTCCACTATTCCCATCATTCCTCCAGGAAGCATGTGTCTGATTTCATGCTGTACTTGTCAGTATTTTCCATAGGAACGGAAGTGACAGATGAATATATATGCATATGTAAATGTATGTATACCAATATACACATACATGTTTATCTGATGCTCTATTTACAAAAAGGCACAAACCTCTCACAGGGAAATGTGTTTCAGCAATCGCTCACTGGAAAAAGTAGTTGTTCTAATTAGTTCCATTTAATCTACCAATTGAAATTCCAAGAATCTTCCTCCTCATTCAGTGTAGCTGAATGTCTCAGGTGGTCTTTTGTATATGCAGGAATCCTAAAGGAGTAGGCTCTAATGACTGTAAAGGAATGGCATTGTCAGCAAGTGCAAGGGGAAACAGGCAAAAAGAGCAAGTTTCCTTCTTCCATGATTTTAGATAGGCTGTCACTGGGAGGTGTGGCCCTGGTTAAAATGGAAATTCCCACCTCAAAAGAGTCAAACTAAAGTTGAGTCTTCTCACCTAAAATGCTTTAATTAAGAAAAATCACTCACATTTGTACCAACAAAAAAAAATCACTCACATGTGTACCTACCAACTTAGGTTTTAGTTAATTCCATATTTAGTCCAGTTGACAATCAAAAATAGACATAATATGAAACATATGGGCATTTATGATCTTTATGTACATGTGTAAACTTTGGACCCCATAAGTGAGAGAAAATATCATGGTTTTTCTTTCCGTATCCGACTAACGTTAATTAATATGCTTATCTTCATTTGTGTCCACTTCCCAGAAAACCATATTAACTTGCTTCAAATGCACTTACCTTTTATCACATATATGTTGTATAACTATTAGATATGCTTCTACAATTGAACATATTATATATTTACATGTAGTGTATAAATTTGAAGAAGTCATCCCTATTAACATTACACACTTGATAATTTTAAATATGTAGATATAAAACCATTCCTAAAAATACATGATATATGTTTCATATACTTATATTTGTGCATCTATGTATTTCTAACCATGTAATGATTAGGGCATAAGACACAAAGGGATTGTGCAGTAACTTTGGAACTGATTGATATTTCCCCAGGGAAGAATTTCCACAACTCTCACTCCTTTGTACTCATGACATTCAGGAGCCCACCAAGGAGCAATTCTTACTCCTAATCTTGGACCCTCTTTTGGGGATTGAGTGGAAATCCTTATACAGGGGAATTGCCTACCGTTATCCTGCACCCAGATGTAGCAGAAAGCACAGAAAGACTTATTAGTGAAATGTGTGAACATTTAATCACGAAGTTTGGGTTTCCACAAGTAAGGTACACTGTTGCCAAGTGGCTCAAACACAATTTCTGAACTCGCAGAGACCAGTGGCACCGAAATCATAATACGAAGACCAGGAGTACAACTGTCACTGTGCAATGTCCGAAGTCCCCACTCCTCAAACTACTTTCTGGCAGAGACTGTCCACAAATCTCCCTATGGGCTGAGCTATGCTCTGTGATCCTTTTAGGGAATCCTATGATCATGTGGTATGAGGGAACCATGGAAAATCAAACATATTCTTTCATAAACAAGGAAGACCAGCACCTAGGAATGACAAGCTACACAGGAGAGTAGTAACAAGATCAAGTTCTCTATCACAACCCTGGAAGACCATCATGCACTACAATATAACTGTTTTGTTACAACTTTGTTGGGTGGTCAAAGTTCTGTGACACCCTAGAATTGGCGTTCATCAATCAGATGACACTGAGACATTTCAGCCATAGAACCTATTATCAAGAAAACTCTGCTCCACCTGGGGCCTGGGCATGGATCTCTGCATCCAGTTCCCTCAGTCATTGCATGGGGTGTCTAGCACAACATTTGGGGTGTTTGGCCATTCTATCACCAGAGTAGGTCAGTTCAGGCTGTGTCTCGACCATTGCCAGTAGTCTATTGTGGGGGTATCTTTGTGTATTTCTGTGGAACTCGCTAGCACTTGGCTTCTTTCTATTCTCATGTGGTCTTCATTTATCATGGTCTTTTATTCCTTGTTCTCCCTCTCTGTTCTTGATCTAGCCTGGATCTCCTGCTCCCCTAAGCTCTCTTTCCCTTGACCCTTGCCCTTCATTACCCCCACTCACATTCATATAGTGCTGGCTGTTTGGAACCTGAAACTTATGCAGGGACACTTGGCTCAGCCTGGGAGGAGGGGACTGGACCTGCCTGGACTGAATCTACCA